CAGGGGGTACACCCCCTGCCTAAAAAAAGGGGAGGGGGGTAGCAGGGGTGATACCCCTGCTAAATTCACAAAATAATGGTTTGTGGCAGTTTTTAGTGCCAAAATTGTTCTCAGCACACAAAAAAACCCATATAAGTTATATAAGCCTAGGAGCAGGAATGCCAGGCTTTCGGGACCTTTTGCAAAACCTCACTGTCAGCTTATTATTTTGTGTACAGCTTTGAACTTTTCCACAAACAATGACATTGAAACATACTCATAAAATCAAAAAAAAAATTTGTGATTCCTTTATCGTGTGAAATTTTATGAGTTTGTGAATATGTGGCAAACAAAATCGAGAAAAAAAACTTTTACATAACATTTATAGGTGCTTGGTAAATTCAGTCGATGTGCATGCCTTTATACTTTATATCTTTATCTCTGCAAGAAATAGATTTTGTGTCAACTGACAAATGTTGAAGAGTCACTGTGAAAAGATATATCTGACAAATTTTATATAACTGAAATAAATATCATTTAAGTCATCAGTCCACCCATCCTGAGCATCAACATCTGGGTGTGTGGTTGCAGGGCGAGGCATGGCCACTGGGGAAGGGGTGCCACTATTTGAAGTTTGTTTTGTAGACATAGGAGGGTCTATGTCAGCTGTATTCCTATCATTTGGGGTCTAAATCTACATTGTGTGATCTTTGACGTTTGCGTGATGGGACCGGGAAGCATCGGATCATAGGTCTGAGCATGGGGAACACCCGATTCTAGATCTAGGCCTAGATCTAGCACAATTTTCATTCATCTTCACTTGAGTCTGCACCTCTCCTATTTCCTTTCCTATACTCATTATCAACTCTGCATGATGGTTCATCATCACTATCATCTGCAAAAAGATCTAAATCTGACCCTTTATTGATGAATGGGTCCATTAATTCAAATGTTCCGACCTCGTTGAGATGCCGTCGCCATTGTAACTGAGCGTTAGTAGTTTTTAGTTCGTTTCGGGTGAGTTAGAAAAAGTCCGATTTTTAAGTAGCTTATTCAAGGGAAGTTACTGCAACAATGCAGAATCGAAACTAAACTGGCTTTTGTCGCCCACTGCCGACTGCCAAGCCCGAAACGCTTCGGGGAATGAATGTTTGAAAAATAGTAGTAAAAACGCACCAGACGGGTTTCGGGTTTGGCAGGCAGCGGTCTACGCGGATCACCCGACAGGGTTCGGGCATGGCAGTGAGTGAGTAAGTAAAGTGTCGAAAATAGATCTAGAATATCTAGGTATCTAGTCTCAAATAGGTTTGGCCGGCAACTCAGTTCAGTTTATTTACTAGAATCTAGATCTAGATTTCCGTTTTTGTTCCCCCGATTTTGTGCAGAAAAAATGTCTTTGGAGTTAGGCTGGGACCACTTCTCCTGAATAGTGCCCCAGCTGGTATCCACCCCCCTCCCCCCCCTGCCAAACCCCCATGTTTACAACCAATCGGCAGTGGCGGTGGGGCATTTTTGGCGGGTTACTTCTGGTGAAACTACAAGTTATTTCATAGCAGAAAAATGAAACGCTCGACACTCGGGTAAGATCTAAGATCCGTGTTGCGCATTCTAATTCTAGACCTAGATCTATGGCATGGCATGGGCCCACAAAAAAAGCTGATTCGCGATCTAATACAGACTGCGCAATAATCTATGGATTGTTGGGCATTTCATGGGGAGGACTTCTGTAATGAGCGACCACTATGAGACAGAGCAGGCTTGGGGTAGGGGTAGGGGTAGGGTTAGGGGTAGGGTTAGGGGCAGGGTGTTATTAGGGGTAGGGTTAGGTCTAGGCCTCTTCTTTATTGTGTTTGATGTGGTGGTCGCTCGTTACGGAAGTCCTTCCATTTCATGGATCCTCAAAATGCGTTGCGCGATCCACGAAAATCGACAGAAGGCGTCTTACACTGTTGTCACTACCACCACTCATCACTTCACCGCACAAATGAAAATGTGCAGCAGCCGCAGACGACTAAAAGAAAGAAAACGAGAATAGAATATAGGGTTCATTAAAAAATGAGCTCCAAACAGAGTGCTCATCCACGAGGTCAAATAAAAATAAACTAAAAATAACAAATAACTAGATCACATCATAACTTACAATAAAACGCAATCTGACGGGTCGAGAACAATGAGTCCCAGGCAGGCTAGGCCATCGCGGCCATGATTGTTTCTCTCCAGGGGGTGCAATTTGCTTTGAGCCAGGTACACATTAAAGTCGACTAGATCATAGGATGCAGCAGATCTAATTAAAGAAGGGGTTAAGCAAATATTCCATGTTATGTGCCTAAAATATTTAAAGTAAAAGGTCCCTGTTGTTGAAATTTTATCTTTTGAACACCCTTTTACTCCTTTTTAAACCAGTCATTTTTTCAAAACAACATGAAAAAAAAAATAGGGCCTAGAAAATGGGAAATCCTTTTCGGCAAGCATCAGTCAAGAGGAAGTAACGCACAGCCTAGGCCTAGATTGTTTATTGTGTTGACGAAAAGCAATTTCTTTTTCAAAGCTGCTGTTCACTTCCGGGATCAGTTCAGTGCTCTGTTTGTCGCATTGTCGCGTTGAGAGTTCAGAGAACTTTTGAGCTGGTAAAACACTTGAACCACGGGGAGATGGGAGTGTCAGTAAGTACCTGTAGGATTCTCCCTGGCTCAAACGAATCTATTATGATTAGACTAGAAAAATATCATCAGCAGCTGTTTTCTCTGGCTCTCTTGCACTCTTGCCCTCATGATGCCTCATAATAAGTTGGCTGATAGATATCTAGATCTAGATCTATATATCTATATCTAGATCTAGATCTATGTCAATTATTGTTGTCGGATTGTCTCTTTTCTTCCCCCTGGTCTAGATCTAGATCTAGTTCGACCATCTGTCTCAGTCATCAAGAAAAGTGAAGCATGTGGTCACTGTTAATGAAAGGTAGACCGTATCATAGATGCCGTGCCGTAGTCGTAGTGGTTATATGTCAAGCGCCATTTGCCGATCAGCACGATCTTAAGATGGCGCAAAACCATATGACGATCCGCAGAAAGCGCGGCCATCTCGAGATGGGCGCGCCATCTACGGATTATCTTTCCGAAAATGAATAGAGCTGCGCAATCTTAAGATTGTGCAAAGTCAAAGCAAGCAAGAATCGAAGTGTATACAGACCCGGTAACCGGGAACAAAGTCAGGAAGTATACAGACCCGGTAAGGGAACTCTTTTGTGATTTCGGAAAGTTTCAGCGCCCAGACCCGGTAGTGTGTGTGCGTGTGTGTGTGTGTGTGTGTGTCAAGTGTGTGTCTGTGTGTGTGAGAGAGAGAGAGAGAGAGCAGGGGGAAGTGCTAGCAAAATGTATGACATGCCCCAGCCAGTTGGCAGGAGGGAACGAGAGAGATATATAGACGTCTAGTGGGAAATAGGTGGGGAGAAAGAAAGACAGAGACAAACAAAGAAAAAGAGAATGCGAGCAACAGAGCGAGAGAGAAATAGAGAGGATGACTGCTCGAGAGAAATTATGACATTGTTCTTATTCTTCAAATTGTAATTCCTCCAACTCCAAAACGGAGGAAAAACGATCGTTCATCGAAAAGACATCCGCAATCTTCATTTAGATCTAGATTTATATAGATCTAGATCTAGGCTAGCCTCGAAACTAGACCAAGGATTTATGTCTGTCTGTCTAGATCTAGATCTAGACCTAGCCTAGGCCATAGATCTACCAGAAGAACCTAGGTCTACCCTGAGCCAAGAGGGCGCTGAAACTTTCCGAAATCACAAAAGAGTTCCCCTACCGGATCTGTATACTTTATGACTTTGTTCCCGGTTACCGGGTCTGTATACACTCCCAGCAAGAATTGCACCATCTGCCAATCGCTTGGAAACACACACAAACACATACAACATATTATATATCGAAGTGGCTAGCCGTACTTAGATCTAGGTTTGGCCCAATCGACTAAAACCTGTTAAGTACACAGGTCTCATTAGATCTAGATCTAGATCTAGTAATTATTCAGGTTCAAATACATGCAAGTCAGTAAGGCACCTTTTGGTTTTGTCTGAAATACAAATAAATACTTTTGGCATTGCAAACTAAAAATTTCATTTACAATTCAGCCATCAATATTAAGTACGGCTAGCCTGACAGTCTAGCCGTCCTTAAGTACGGCTAGCCTGGCTGTCTACCCGTACTTAAGTACGGCTAGACAAGAAGTCTAGCCGTACTTATCTTAGGCCCTAAATTAACATTAGTTAGAAAACAGGAGGTTTAAAATACATACACTATCATTTAAGGCACCTGGTTTCGTCTGAAATACAAATGCTTTAGGTATTGCACACTAAAAATGTATATTTACAATTCAGTAGGCCTATTTTTTGTAAATGGTCAGTCTAGCCATCATATTAAGAATAAGTACGGCTAGACTGCCAGTCTAGCCGTCATTAAGTACGGCTAGCCTCTACCTTATTATATGCACACATAGAGGTGAGAGTGGCAAAGAAAAAGAGAGAGGGAGAGAGAGGTTTTGTGATAGATCTAGATAAAAGTCCAGGTTTGGTGATTTTTTTGATTTTTTAAATAAAAATTTAAAAAATCGATTTTTGAAATTTAAATCAAGATTTTTAAAATTTAAATCGGATTTTTTTTATTTAAAAAAAATGTCGACACAGTTTGGGATTTTTGGTTGCTAAAAGTATGTTCTTTTAGTGCAAAAGGCATTGTCTTTATTTTAACTATAAATGATTAATTAAGCAACCGCAAAAGAAAGCCTTAATCTGCAATATATATATATATATATATATCAGTGAATTATGGCTACAGACAAAAAATGAAGAAAATGTCAGTCTAAAAGGAAGGGGGGGGGGGGTAATTATGCATGGATAAACTTGCATTTTATTACAGTGTGTGTGTGTGTGCGCGCCCGCTTGTGTTTGTCTAAAAAGAAACAGAAAATGTTAATTTCAATAATGATAAAAAAAAGTAAATTGAATACTGTATTATTTTGCAGTGACAGGGGGAAAGCAGACTTTTAAGCATGATTATATTAGTCTACTAAACCTTATATCTGTTTTATAAAACCAAGGAAAGGAATTCTGAATGTTTAAAGATGTAAAAACAGAATACATTTTTTAAAGTGATTTAAATCACTGAGTTTTATTTCTAAAATCAAGTTGATTTAAATTTTAAAAAATCAACTGATTTAAATCGACCTGATTTAAATCAACCCAACCCTGATTTCAATTATGAAAAAAAAGTCAATTGAATACTGTATTATTTTACAGTGACAGGGGGGAAAGCAGACTTTTAAGTATGATTATATTAGTCTACTAAACCTTATCTGTTTAATAAAACCAAGGAAAGGAATTCTGAATGTTCAAATATGTAAAAACTGAATACATTTAAAAAAAAGTGATTTAAATCACTGATTTTTATTTTAAAAATCAAGTTGATTAAAATATTTAAAAAATCAACTGATTTAAATCAACCCAGCTCTGATTTCAATTATGGAAAAAAAAGTAAATTGAATACTGTATTATTTTACAGTGAAAGGAGGGAAAGCAGACTTTTAAGCATGAATATATTAGTCTACTAAACCGTATATCTGTTTTATGAAACCAAGGAAAGGAATTCTGAATGTTGAACTATGTAAAAACTGAATGAAAATAATTTTTTAAAGTGATTTAAATCACTGATTTTTATTTAAAAAATCAAGTTGATTTAAATTTAAAAAATCAGCTGATTTAAATCAACCCAACCCTGTAAAAGTCACTTCACACCACACATGCACACGCTAAAACAACATACACACATACCCACACACACACACAAACATGCATTTGGCAGTTTTTGAACGTTGGTTTGGCAGGAGACCGAAAAATAATGTGGCAACCCTGAATGAAAGGGGAAAGCAAAGCACTTACAAACGAAACGCAAAAAGTCAAAAGAGAAAGGCTGTATGGGCAAGTGGTACTTGCGTCCTCTTGAACCTTTAAAAAATTTTTTTTGAAATTAATGATAATAAATTCTGCAGAGTTTTGTTTGTGAACTTTGCAAAATCGTTTGTTTGTGTGTGATGGCGCGTCGCGCCCATCTCGAGATGGCCACGCTTTCTGCGGATCGTCATATGTGGTTCTGCGCCATCTTAAGATCGCGCTGATCGGCAAAATGTCGCTTGACATATATATATTATAGATCTAGCTATGTTATGGAGTGCATTTTAAGAAGAGCAGGCCTAGATAATCTGCCTAATTGTAAGCCTAGCCCAAGCGGGAGGAAGGAATTCCGTAATGAGCGACCACCCCTACAAACACAATAAAGAAGAGACCTAACCCTAACCTTTACCCTACCCCTAGCCTTCTATCCTACTCTTTCTTATAGTGCTCGCTCATTATGGAAATCCGTGGAAGACTTTAGCCAAGACTTTTAGCAAGTGACTGCTATCGATGAGATTGTTTTGAGGCAGACTTGTTGCAAAAATTAATATCTTGATCTAGACTATGGCCTGTTGGATAGGGTCAGCGATAATCAAGTGTCAACAGATGGATATTGAAAGAGCCATACATTTTCCTGTCTCTGTCCTTCAGGTTTCTCAACACCCCACCCCCTCAATTGTGTGTGTGTGAGAGAGAGAGAGGGTGTGTATGTGTGTGTTTATAGTTTTGTATGTAGGGCATATTTCCAGAAGCATGCATGTATGTGAGTTTGTAGGAGTAGGCTGTGGTGTTTTGTGCCTTCAGAAGGGACGTTATTGTTTTAAAACCAAAAACATTTCTAAGGTACCTCTATTATCAACCCACCTTGGTGTCTTACAGTTCATGCTGGCTTTAAGCGCGGTCATCGGGAGAAAGCATATATATAAGCGTGCTTAAAATGCCGAAGCGTGCTTGAGTGCGAAGTAGACATTGTTATAATCGAGAGATTTTTATGTAGAAAATTTCCTGAGTTATTCGCTTTGTTTGTAAGTAGAGGTCGCGCAAAGGTGTACGCTGTCGTTTTTACCTACCATAGTTGTTTTTGTTTGTTTGTTTTGTTTTGTGGTCGAATGGGGAAGGAAAACTTAATTTAGACTGCCAGTCACACAATACAGCACATTAGACCAATATGCTGCCTGCCCTGTGCGTACCACTGCCCGCTGTGCCACATTCATACCAGGTCACCACCTTCATCCCATCTCGCGCGTGATATGTCCAGGATTAGCGGATAGCTAGGGGCAAAGGTGAAATCGCAACCCTGAGCCAGCCTCCCTTTCTTGTCTCCCCGAATCTCTTGTATTTTTTTTCGTCTGTATGTAACTTTGCCCTAGGCTAGATCCAATGTCCACGCACGCGGCTGTGTCCATCTCTCTGTCTTCCTCTCGGCGGACGTGTTTGTGTCTCCATCACTTGCGTTCTTTGTGTTTCTCTTAACACACTCACTGCTGAGGTATAGACTGTTCGAACTTCGATGGGTCATGAAAATATTGACTGTCTTGTAAATGAAGTGTGCCCGAAGTCGAAGTTACTGTACTTAAAGGCGTCTAATTTATAGAGCTTTAATAAGTTACGAGCCGTTTAGCATGCTTGAGTCCAAAACGTGTTTTATGCATGCGTGTTTAAAGCCGGTACAGACTGTATTACTTACTCATGGTAAAAGTGCACACCATTTTTCTTGCTTCTGTTGCATGCACAGCTAGTGTCTAGAACACACCATGCTGATAGTACAATAACTGCAGTACATGCAGGCTTATTTTTATGAGCCTGGTGCCAAAAGAAAGAACAAATCCCATAAGAAAACATACTTTTACAAGATGATTTATGTCAAGCAACACCTCCTCTTTGTACCTTTCTTTTGGTATCGGTTTAATTCAAAATGAAGGGTTATCAGGGTACAATTTTTAAAACAATGAAACAGTTTTTCCCCTCTCCTGAAAAGTTTTCTTTTTTGGGCTTATATGACATTTTAACAGCTTGCTGACGAATGTATTGTGTTAGAAGCCATTGTAGGTGGGTTTTTTAAATTGCTTAATATTCTAATCATCATGTTATAAATGTGCATTGAAGTAATTTGTTTTATCTAGATGGTCGAAAATCTTTTATTCCAGCGCCCTGGTCGTCGACTGATCATTGTCTCTGTTGGACTTGCTTTGATTTACCTGGCTACCATCCTTATAATCATTGGCCTCAGCACAAATAATTGGAAAGAAATATGGGATGGTAACGTTTACAATGATCGAATTGAGGTGCATTTTGGACTTCATCGTGTATGCTTCTCCGATGGTGAAAGATGCACTAACCCAGGGAGCCATTATGACCAATCAGGTGAGTACTTTTGCCATTTGGTTCTGATAACAAAGAAAAGGAAAAGGCTAACTTTTTTAAAACCTTGAAACTATTTTCTTTTGCTATTTGAACTGCTAAATTTTTTTAAAGGTACAGTTTAAATTTGTATCAAGTCGTAATTCTCATGTTGCCATGTGATGGGCTTTTTTCCCTATAGGCTACCATCTTCTCTTAATTAATTGTCAGTTTCTTTCATAAGTCTGCTTTGTGCTCGAACTGTTATTTTTTTTTTCGTATGTGAAAACTGTTAATGGTTGTCCCAGTATGGGAAAATGCACACCTTTCTATTTTTTGTGTGCCTGTTTCACTGTTTTTGCCTTACTTCACAAATATTCGATGACCGAATCCACTTTTTTCAGTTTGTCCATCGTATTTTAAAACAATGTTCTCTATACGTTTAAAAAAGTCACAGGGACAAGCTGACATTAAAAGTGCACAAAGTGTTTTATTGAATTGATACATTTGATAGGTAAGTAGATTAGTTTTGTTTGCATGAGCCCATTCAAGCTTGGACGGATTACTTTTTATTTAAAAGTGGGATTTATAAACACAAGCTTACAGCTCGAAACTTTACAGGGATGCGCAGAGTGTGTCATGAATCTACTACAGGTTCCTATGTCCTAAAAGTGATAATATAAATATATATTTTATGTAGTCTGAGATTTACTTCATTCCTAAGTTTTATTTCTTCTGTGCAGTTGTTTTTTATCTCAAGGCCAGTCTTCTAGCCACCAGAAGGCTTGCTTTGTTTAAACTTTCAACAGTTTGAGGTGATTATTCCAGCTAATTTTGAATTTTATGCGGTAAGGTTCATGTTTGGTGTGGCAGAATGACAGAGAGTGTATGAGCACAAGTTCCCAGCTTCTTTTTCACTGTGATTTGTGTGTTCTCAAGTTTATCTTCAAACTGAACGCAGTTTGATGCCTGAGATTGGAATGCAGTTTAGTGCCAAGATGGGAATGTATTTTTGGTGCATAGGATGGGGATAAACCTTTTTTTTCTGAATTCTTGAAATACAAAAAGATTTGTTGTCATAAAAAAAATGTTGCCTGACCTTATATTATTATTATACAAGTCGCTGATTTGCACCCAAAAAGATAGTAGTTAGTAGTTACTCAAATTTTATCTTGCATTTTTTCTTCTTCTTTTCATTCAGATTATCTGCCTAAGGTCCAAGCTCTGGTGATTGTTGGTGGTTTTTTGTCCATGTTTAGTGCCATCTTTTCGTTACTCAACCTGACAACTGATCGTCTTGGTTGGTCTCATGTTGGCATCATGGCCCCCGCCTCAGTTTGCGCTGTTCTCGCAGGTGAGTTTTGGGTTTGGTTTTTGTTGTTTAGGGTTTTATGGGTCTTTTAACATTTTTATTAATTTTTTTTTTGGGGGGGGGGGGGGGGGGGGAATGGGGATGTTTTGATAAAGGAAACAAAACCATTATAGTGCACAGTAATTTTTAGTCTCACTTTGATTTCAGTTGTTTTGGTTGTTTTTTTTTAAAGAAAAGAAAACGCAATGATAATAATACTGCTTACTGATTTTGAAGTCTATTTGATTTTAATTATATATATATATGTTGCACATGGAAGGCCAACTTGCTCGTGGAGGTCTTTGATCATTTTGTTGCCCTGTGCTACTGGCATTTTCAAAAGAAGCCTTACTTGCAGTTTAGCAGATGATACAATCATAGAGCATAGAGTGGTAGATGGGCAATGTCAGGGTTTGTAGCAAAGGAATAATTTGTACCGGTTCTACTATTGACTATTGTCTCTGTGTTAATTAAGTGTAATGTGCTTGGGTGGGTGGGCTCTAGTCTCCGGCAGGCTTTTACACAAAGGGGGTATTGATGCGAACACACTAATCATCAAAAATATTTTGTGGTCTTGGGTGGTCTGCTCCTTCTCTCCTATCAAACATTTATCATCCTGATCACTTCTTCTTTGATCTTTGTTGTGTTAGTTACTCTCTTGTAACACCTCTAATCTTCTTCTGCACTTTTATGACCTTTTTGTGTTGCAAATGCCCTAAAAGTCTAACTAAAACAAAAATTATTGCTTTCCTTCATTTTTTTTCAAGTATTTTAATACTGATCTCCCTTGGATTATTAACACAACTGGCCTGCGTTTTTGTCCAGATACCTTTCCTTTTTTTATGTCTTTTTTCCTTGGAAAAGAAGTAGATCTAAAATATGGTACAAGCCCTATTTCGTCTAGCAATGATTAAGGCTGAGATATGAATAGGCAACAGTTAAAATACCACTATCGCGAATTTTGCACCAGTTCGGTGTGGGGGGGGGGGGGAGGGGAGGTACAGTTATGAAAATAAGTTGTCTACAGGTCTTTAGGATTAAATGATCTGGCTGCCATTGAAGTATTGCATAATGTCAAGGCCTGGGGCCTTTGGTCCTAACCTAGTTTTGTATCTATGTACTTTGTACTTTACTGGGAGTTGCAGTGGCGGAGAGTCTAGTGAAATCAAGCTCACCATATATTGTAAAGCATGCATTGTATCAGTGACAAGGCGTTGGTCTTTGGGGTGTGTTCTAAGGTAGGGGGCACCGGTATCTTGTTTAGATGGCTGCATGCAGTGGGCTGCAGCTGAGATTTCATTTTTTTAAAATGTTTATGTTATTGTGGTGAAATCAGGCGCTTGTCAAAATAATGAACTTGAAGAAACGGACATTTTTCAGCTCCCTGGGCAATCATATGGCCATTAAATAAAAGCACATTTTTAAGTATAATTTAACTGAAAAACATTGATCTATGGCACAAAAATGTAAATTTGCAGTCTCCCAAGACTAAGGCTTTCGAAAACATAACTAGAGCATTTCCAATTTCCTGGATCAATTTATTTTCTTACCCAGAAAGTAAAGCTTCGACATAAATACATTAAAGGGAGCAATTTTTAGTCTTATATGTTAGATTCAAACTGCTCATGTACATTTTGCTTCTTGACTATCATATTCCCAAATTTTATTTTTGTTGGCGTTGATGTTGGTATGATGAAAAAGAAATTGATTCGATAAACTTGCTCGAAAATACAATGGAGTTCGCTTTAGCTGAAGTTTAACTTGGATTTTTTTCGGGGATTAAGCTGGGTCTTCAGTCTAGACAGCCTACTCAAATAGCAATGATCATCGACAGCATGGGGTTAGGAATGCCATGCTTGCAGCAGAATTCACTTTTTGGAAGATTTTTTTTCTCATCTATCCCTTTTAGTAACTGCAATTTGAGCTGCAGGCTGTAATGACTGTGCTTTTTTTCTGACATTATCAGCTTGCTTGGTCTGCTGAACAGTCACATAGAATAGATGAAAGAGTTGACTGATAAGTGGGGCCTATGTGAGCCAGCTTCACAGAGACAATAAGCTATGACCAACCAAATGTCACACAACAGGCATTCATAATTATTCATAAGTTTTCCTTGCATTACTAGGCCTTTAAATAATGTGTAGGCCTATTGATGTGTGTGACAAATATAGACTGTCTCTGGTCCACAATGATACAGGTACATTTCTCATGTCGTTTTGAAATCTTGAAGCATGTAAGTTGTAAGACTTGATGGTTTGCCTCAGTTGAGGGTTGCCAATGAAGATTTAGTTGACATAAGGCTTGAAATTCTTTCCTTTTTCGAAATGGGAATGTTTCATCTAATCTAAAGTTGTTGTTTTTTTTAAAAACGAAGACAAAGAAGAAAGCACGTAGGGGAATTTGTTTTCTTTCAGTTTACTGTTGTTTTCGAATTAACCACGTTCGGTTGAAGCAGACTCCACTGTAGTAATTTTTTTACTGAAGAACTTCTTTATGAGTCCAGATAAATGTGTATCTTAATAGTGAATTAAAGATTGCAGTAACAGCTATTGCTACTTTGATGGTACTTTTTGGTGATGATGGAGTTGATGTTGTTGATGAAAATGATGATGATGTCGATGATGGTTGTTTTGTTGCTCTTTTACAGGACTGTTTACGACGATTGGAATCATCTTGTACTCCATAAAAGTGGAGATCAACAATGAGTACATTTCCTTCTATCGTGACATTCGCCTAGGATGGTCCTTTGGTCTGACAACGGTTGCTGTCTGCTTTCTGTATATCGGGGGTATACTGGAGGGCGTCTCAACCATGATAAGTCCGCAGCCACAGTTTGAGTAGAGTCTAGGAGGAACTTTCAGAAGGTGCTACAACTGGGTTTTTAGTCAACATTGTTATCTTATGTACCATGCCTTTTTATAGTAAACTGCAGGAAACACATCCCTTTCTTCGAGAAAATAATCTACTGAAATTCAGCAGCAATTATACATGCCTTTGATTAAGTCAACTTTCTACTAAAATTTGGCTGCATGTAAGATAAGTTTGTTTCCCTTGCAGCTTTGCTTGTGTAGCAATCTATGGCTTTGATCTTTTGATCTGAAATGGAAATAGAAAGAAATATGCTAAATGAAATTTTAGTTGTAATGAGAGTCTTCATAATCTCTTTTCAGTTTGATAATAATATCGTGTAAGATGAGCAAGTGATTGGAAGGCTAGATTTTTTAATCTTAAAAATTATTCCAAGTTTGGGGGGGAAAGAATCAAAATGGATTTGAACCATGTGTATTGTGGTTCGTGGGTTAGGACCCTCCTACTGCGGCCAGTGAAGACTGTACTAGTGTCTGGTACTTTTGTATTTTTTCACGAAATGTGACTGAGTGGTTGTACTGTATGCAATAATCATTGCAGGTGGTAAATTTTAGAATGGTATACATTTTTTCAAATTTTTGTTAACTTATATTTTTCCCCTTTAAAAAAAAAATTTTGTTTGTTTGTTTTTTTCACTTTAGACATTTACATCATCATCGCCTTTTTCACAATGGACCAGACTATAGACCACTCACAAACACTTCTCAGTTTTCTCTATCTTGGGATAGCTTCTTGACATTATTTCATGTCTGTCCACTTTCCTGTGCATCATTCTCTGTGACTTTTTTTTCCAGGTTCCATATATATAGCCATTTCCTTGTTCATTTATTCACATAAAACTGAAAAAGTTAGATGCTGGAAAGTTTCGGAGAAAGCTCCCTTTTTTTTTCTTTTTATATTTAGTTGTGCCCTTCACATTTGCTAAGCTAAAGCAGCTAAAGTTCATCCAAACTGGCAGGTATTTCTGGTCATTCGAAGTTAAAGCCACAATGGGTGTATTATTAGTGTCACGACACAGTGGAATAGGACGCTGGTCAATTTTGGGGCATATGGAGTTATTAGTGTCAACTTAAAACCTGTTCATTTGTCTTGTTTCGCTGAAAAAATTATCCACCTATCTTCAAAAGAAGTTGAGATATTTTGTACTAAAGCAGGTAGGGTCACTTGAATTCAGAAGTAACGTTAGAGAGAAGATGGCCACCAAAGTTTACTACTTCCAAAGCTTGAGAGTCCTTGGAAATTGTAAATTTACTTTTTTTTGGTATGATTTTTATCATTTTTCTTTAAAAGCCACACATTAATGTGTTTTTAAATGGGCAGAAAAATGCTGTTTTCTTCGATTTCATTTTTAAAAAATGAGCACTTGATTTCACCATGATGCCACACATTTTATGAGAAAGGCGTCGAAACTAGAATATTTTGTGTTAAATCTATGCACAAGATTGAATTCATAACCTTTGAAGAGTCTGCTTAAGTATCTGATTCCATAACTAGTGGATATCTGTCGTCTTACTCTTATATCTCGAAGGGAGGTGAAAATATGATAGAAATCCTTCATGTTTGTTGACTAGTGCCTTAACTTGGTCATCTCTTAAAAGGAGCACAATGACTTTCCAAGACACATGCATCATTCCATTATTTTTTTTCCCTTCTTTTATTATACTGATCATTAATATTGTTACTGCATATTCTTATTCCGCCCATTCCCCATTATGTTTTTGTTTCTTGCCTCTATCATATCAAATACACAGTTTTTATGGCTCAAAATATTTGCTCATTTTAAAGATAATAGGATTTCAAATTTTAACTTGCTGTGATCAGAATATTTTTTTTTTGGTGAGCCATTGGTTGGTGGGCTTTTTTGTGTGTCCTGTTCTTTGGGGGATTTTTTCCTCCTCTTCTTTTGTTTAGCGTTACTAGATCTATTCATATACGATCATTTTTGTGCTGATGGGCAGTAGCTTAAGCAAGAGGTCATTCCTGTGCTGTTAGAGAATGTCTCCTTATACACGACGTAGCGCGCAGTCTTTACCGCTCCAAAATCAATCAAGTAAGATTATAAAGAACCCGTCTCCCTAGCCACGCTTGACCGTCGCCTGCAATCGGTCCATGTAGTGACTAAGACCTCGTTGCCTGCGACAGAATGGGGGTGTGACAAGTTTAAAGCATCCTCATTGGTCAAAATACCTTGCTGTGTGATGTGGTCAAGCATAAGGATACACACCTCGTGACTCCTGGCTAGAGACTGCCGAGTGTGACGCAACGTCGCGTCGTGCATAATAAGCGAACATCGGCTTATCCTTAGGGTTGTGTTGAATACTGTCAGTGAATTTGTTTGACTTGATAGTCTGCTTATTATTTTATTAATGTGGCAGTTTCTCCTTTTACACCAATATTTTATTGGCTTGTGGACTTACAATCCTCATATAGTGAAATCAATGTCTGTTCAGTGTCTGTTGATTTTAGCAGCTGATCAAGATCATTTATTTTGTATGCTAGTTGATGATAAACATTATGTTCTGTTTACCTCTTATTTGTACATATATTTTGTCCATTCTACTCCAGATGAAGGCGTGCTAGCTTTAAACATTCCAACATTCAATTCTTTATACCTCTACAGTAGTACGCACATATCATGCTGTATATTATGTCTGTTCTAATGTTTAGTTTTAGTAGAGGTTTTACAGCGCTCGCAAGTTAGTTATTCTACATAAGGTCATATGAGTGCCAGTGTTCTAATGTGGATGGGGGCTTGATTGTTTTACCATAGGGTCATCATATAGTTATGAACTCTAGATTTGCATGACTTGAATTTTCTATGTATGTATATATATATATATATAATATATTATGTGATTGAGGCAGATTGAGATATACCCAAGGACAGAACTGTTGAGTGTCAGATTAGATTTTGGCCAATGGTAATGAAATGACAGTACCATGACTGTTTTATTTCCATCACGAAAATTACTGAACTCCAAACTCACTTATGATAATTAATATAACATAAACAAGTTTTATTATGGTCAATGTCAGAGGTATAAAATAGTATAAAGCACTACAAACTATTGAGTACACTTCAGTGAAAGTAATCATGACTGCACACTGGAATCTAACCATGTGGTTGTACTCCAGACAAAAATTTGCATTAAATAATACGGCACAACATCATTTTAAAATAGACGTGAAATTGTATTGTATATTCATGGTCATTGATAAGGATACAAAACTCTGAACTGTCATCTGAAAGTAAGACAAACAGCAAAATGATTTGGAAACCAGTTTGTGACTTTTCCTTCCATGGATGTCCACATAATCCATAAGTGGGAGTCCAACTTAATCAGTAGATTGTAAGTGATTTATGTATTTCGTACTTCACAGACATGGTTGAGAACACCAAGGAGGCGAGTTGCTTAACCCTTTCCGTACGTCATGTTTTACTATCGTATCCATGACGTGGGGAACTCTGTGCCACCACTTTCCAAAGAGGAAATTTACTCGTTAATCCGATCCGTACGCTTTGCATAGCAGTCTGTCAAAATGATATTTTGAGAAATACTCAAAGTTTCAAAGAGATCTTCGTACTAGAAGTATTCTAAAATGTGAAGAATACAACCCCATGGCGTACGGATAGGGTTAAATTCTGCTTGTCTGAGCCAACAGGAGTTGTGTTGGTCTGGAGGTTTCCTTCAGAAAAAAAAAAAGAGAGAACTCCGGAGGTTCTCTCTAAAAAAGGTTTCCACTTGCCAAAAATGAAGTCTCATCTTTTGATTGCGGCCGTGAAGAATCTAGCAGTACTCCTCAGACAGTGGTATAGATAGTGAGAGAGGTTTGAAAAGAGAGATGTTTGGTTTTAATTAAAACAAAATGTTTTGAAAGTTCTGCTTCCTATGTGAATAGTTTTTTCCACATGGAAAGTTCTGCTTCCAATGTGAATAGTTTTTTCCACATGGAAAGTTCTGCTTCCAATGTGACGTTTTTTTTCCCACATGGTCTGACAGTTTTGGCTTTTTTGGCCTATGTTTAATGTAGTGTATAGATCCCACTAGAGCAGTACACAATTTTTTGTACATATGTACTTTTTTATAGTGGTGAGACTGAATGAGTTTGTGCTGTTGATTTTGTACATTAATAAAAATTGTTTACATTCCTAATGATACCTTTGTTGTGTGGTCATTTTTTTTTCCAGAGAAATTTTTACTTCTTTCATTGTGGGTGATTGGTATCTGCTCTGGTGTAGTTTGCTCCTTCTTTTCTATCCAACATATCTATCATCCTTATAATCTCTCCTCCTTCTTTTTGTATTTGTTATGCTGTAATAACACCTCTAATCTTCAGCATTTATATGACCTTATTGTGTTGCAAGTGCCATAAAACTCTTGACTAAAATTAAACTTCAGTCATTTTTATCTAATATTTTCATGATGGGACAAAAAACAAAACAAAAGAAAAACATTTTCATTATGGCATGAATTTGTTTTAACTTGTGTTTCTTATACAGAAACACAGACTCTGAGACAAACAAACTAAAGAGGATGAAAGCATTGACATTTCAGTATCTTTAACTGTCTGTTTATTTCCCCTTTGTTTTGTGTTCTTGCTGGTCCATAATAAAACACACACACTCACTTGCGTGTATTTGTAAGTGACATTTATGTATTCAGATGTTGTGATCATAATAGTAGAGTAATACATGTAATCATAAATAACATTTGAGCGCTTATCCCTGCACAACAGCAAGCTCTATACACTTTACAATCTGAATTATTACTATTACACCAGCAGATCCTTACAGTATTATAAACAATCTCGGCTTCCCCGGAACCATAAAGTGCTAGCAGCTGATTTTACAGCGCTCAAACACTAACAAACCCACACGACCTTTCGCAATCTATCGCTGAGTATTAATTCCCACCTGGGTGGAGAGAAGAAAGAAAATTCATATAAAGTGCCTTTCAGTTTCCCAAGGATACAACGTCGGGCAAACCCCTGATGGGATTCTAACCTGCGATCTTACTGTCCGAGAGCCTAACCATCTGGACACCCAACCAACGGGCCTGAAATACAGTGAAAACCTGATATAACAGGGATGATGGGAGTTGAGAAAATGTCCTGTTATATCCGATCCCTGTTAAATCAGAAATGCATGGAAAGTAAGCATTTGTGGACTAATCCAGCTGTACTTGTTCACGAGTAGTTGCCCTTGCCACAAGTACCCGCCACAAACAGGGGTTTTGGCACCAACTTTCTCCTTGCCTATTAAACCACATCAGAAGAGCTTGGTCCACAGCATCTGCATCGGGTTGTCTTATCTTCTTTCGATTCAGAGCAAACTTTCCATTGGAGTATGCTGCCACTATCTTCTCTCTATCCTTGATAATGATGTGAACCGACCCTTGTAGAATGTCGAACTGACGACAAATCTCTGCCAGTGGAGCTTGCTGTTTGTCATTTCGTACTTTTTTTTTGCCAATTGAAAGGCATTTTCTCTTGCGCTTGACATCGTTGGTGACAGCAGACACATTACGCGTGCGTGTTACTAGGTTGGGCTAGATCGAGGTCTGCAGCACACCGCAGCCCTCTTTCGCTTCACACGCTCGTGTGCTTGCAGTG